TGCTTATCTCTAACTCCAGGTCTGGGTCAACAGGGTGGGTTTCTTCAAAACCCTGCTTACTGCACCCGGTAAATGTTCATGTAAGAAACATCGGAACCTGTAGAGGATTTTAATGAGTTTATTTGAGCCAAACTGGCCACATATGTTGGGGAGCAAGATCTCAAATGCTCCCTCTATCTTACCAATTTTAGCCATTTAAGTGGGTGAGTGATGGTGTCTCCTGTTAACAACCAGGAAACCTGTCTTGAGAGTGGTGGGTTGGTGCTGAACATACATTTCAACTTCCCTCTTGTCTGCCTTCCTGCATGCAGGGGCCGAAAAGCTGAAAACTATATTTCTCAGACTCCCCTGCAGTTAGGATCTGCCATACATTTTGGTTCTTCCAATCCGATGCACTCACACATTTGACTGGTGGACATGGGGTGGAGGCCATGCTTCTGGCTCCACCATTGTGGAAGCATCTACTTTCCCCTTGTGATCTTTCTGATTAGAGCAGTTTCCTGATGGCTGTCGTCCCATCATTGTGACAAATTCCTGGTTGTGCTGCCTTCCTGATCATGGCAGTGGAAGCCAATTCCTAAGTAAGCAGTCAAGATCCTGAGTATATTTTCTTTAAATTGATTTCACAGAGGAAGGGAGAAGGGGAGAGAGAGATAGAAACATCAATGGTGGGAAAGAATCATTGATCAGCTGCCTCCTGCATGCCCCCTACTGGGGATAGAGCCGTCAACTCAGGCATATGCCCTGACTGGGAATCAAATCTTGACCTCCTGGTTCATAGGTTGACCCTCAATCACTGAGCCACACCAGCTGGGCCTGAGTATATTTTCTTAAAGTTCCACTTAGTCCTTATCACTAAAAAAGAGGTGGGCCATTGAAAATCCCAGGTTTATGGTCTGGCTCTGAAGTGGCACTTAAATGGTCAACACAGAGTCTATTTGTTCAACCTTTCTGACACTTCTATAAGTCACATAACACTGTATAATAAATCCCTTTCTGCAAAAATGAGCTAGAATGGGTCCTGGTCTCTGTAATGATCTGGGTAAATTTGTCATGGTTAATGTAACAAATTACCACAAACTGTTGCATAAAACAACAGAAATTTATTCTCTCAGTCTGGAGACCAGAAGTCTGCGATCAGTATCAGTGGGTTAAAATCAAGGTGTCAGCAGGGCCATGCTCCCTCTGGAAGCTTTGGGGGGAACCTATTCCTTGTCGCTTCCATATTCTGGTGGCTATTGGAACTCCTTGGCGTATGGCACATCACTCCAGTCTTTGCTCCTCCTCCTCTTTGTATATGATCTCCCTCTATCTCTCTTTTATAATTAGGACACTGGAAATAGTATTTAGGGCCCCACCCTGATAATCCAGGATAATCTCATACTAAAATCTTTAATGTAATCACATTAAAAAGACCTTTTTTTTTTTTTTGCAAATAAGGTCACATTTACATGTTCCATGGATGAGGACATGGCTATCTTTTGGAGAGCATTTTCAGCCTGCCACACAAATAGACACAAAACCTTTCTTAGAACTCCTAACTCCACAGTTGACTCTGGATATCAGAGTTTGGGGGCTGCGAGGTCAGTCGGAAATTGAGAGGAGAGAGCCCATTATGGAGGGAACCCCAGAGAAAGAGGATCAAATTCAATCTCCTGAAAGAAAAAGTAAGCTCTCAACACAGGACTCTGTAGCCACTGCACATGTCCCAGATACTGACGGCAAAGCGAGCTGGCTGCTAGCACTTCTGTCATTCAGCAAGAAAGGAGACAGGTGACGAGGAGGGCATGGCATGTCCTTTAAAGGAACAACTCAAAAGGGGCTCAGGTCACTTTCACTCGTGTGTATGGGCCACAACTTAGTGCCACAGGTGCAGGGACGGTGAAGAATGTTGTTTTAGTGGAACACTCTTGAATCCACTTCAAGTCCGGGGTCCTCCAAGTGAAGGAAGAAGAGGAGAAGAGGCACAGAGAGCGCTGGCTGGAGTCTCTGCCACTCCGGCTTTGTGGGCGGTCACATGATTGTGTGGTGACTGGAGCTGTGGCGCCCCCATTTCGGTCATGAGGGGAGACAGTACTAATACACTGAGGATGGAGCACCAGCCAGAGATAAAGAGCCTGGACCCACTATGGCAGCCTGTCCTCTAGGGCAGCACTGTTCAAATCCAAATATTATGTGAGCCACGTGTGTCATTTAACATTTTCTAGCAGCCACATTTCATAAGTGAAGAGAAATGTGTGAAATTACTTTTACATATATTTTATTTGACCCAATATATTCAAAATATTATTGTTTCAACATGTAATCAACATGAAACGTATTATTAGTGAGATTTTACTTTTTTACAGTGGATAAAAATTCTGTACATCCATCTATTTCTTAGCTTTGTCCATTGAGAGTGGGTAGAAGCAACAATATTCCTGTCACAATCAGCCCTCCTAGCACCCAGATCACGATTTTTTAATACTGTCTCCACGAAGAGGAACCAGAGCTCCTTGAAGAAAAGGCTGGTTACAGAGCTGAGGCAGGAATAGTACAAGGTGAGCCTGCAACATCTTATTCCAGAAAGCAAGAGGTGCTCAAAGGATGAGGGGACACACGGAAAGGGCTTAGGAGCCATCTTGAAAGGGTTCCCATTGGCCTAATTGAGGACAGTTCGAGCATCAACTGAAGTTATAGCAAAGAATTATAATGCACTGAATGAAATAAGAATTCAGTAGTCCATGCTGTTATAAATCAACTAGAGGCACGGTGCACAAAAATTTGTGCACTCGGGGGGGGATCCCTCAGCCCGACCTGTGCCCTCTCGCAGTCTGGGACCTCTTGGGGGATGACCACCTGCTGGCTTAGGCCTGCTCCCTAGGGGATTGGGCCTAAGCTGGCAGTCAGACATACCCCTGGCAGCCCAGGAGCTCTCGGGGGATGTCCCCTTGCAAGCAGGGACCAGGCCTAAGCTGCAGTTGGACATTCTTAGTACTGCTAAGGAGGCTGGAGAGGCTTCCACCACCACTGCTGTACTAGCAGCCATCAGCCTGGCTTGTGGCTGAGCAGAGCTCCCCCTGTGGGAGTGCACTAACCACCAGGGGGAAGCTCCTGCATTGAGCATCTGCCTCCTGGTGGTCAGTGTGTGTCATAGTGACCAGTCATTCCCAGTTGTTCTGCTGTTAGGGTCAATTTGCATATTACCCTTTTATTATATGGGAGTGCCTGGCCAGTCTGGGTGAGGGGCTGAGGGCTGTTTTTCAGGCTGGACACAGCCCCTTCAGGGTAGGGGTTCCCCCTGGGGTGCCCGGCCAGTCTGTTAGAGGGGCTGAGGGCTGTTTGCAGGCTGCCCATGGCCCCCAGCCACCCAAGTTCCCAGTGGAAGCTGGCTGGAAGCAGGTATCTGGGATTTATTTGTCTTCGATAATTGAAACTTTGTTGCCATGAGCGGAGACCACAGCTGGCTCAGGGCAGGCGGGAAGCTTGGCTTCCTCCATCGCCCGGACAACCAAGCCTCCTGCTTGCTCCAGCAACGTGGCTGCTGGCCGCCATCTTGGTTGGGTTAATTTGCATATAGTTGCTCTGAATGGCTGTGGGGTGGCTTGGGGTGTAGTGAAGGTATGGTCACTTAGCATCTTTGTCTTTTATTAGTGTAGATTAGCAAATACATGCATGACAGAGGTGAGCACAGCTCTTCCTAAGAGTAGAATGCCAATGAATAATGCAAGAAGCAGGATGAAGTTATTTGATAACTGACATAATATTAACATTCAGGCTATGGGCTCTGAGCACCCGTATATCCCCCTCTGTCCGAGACCCTTTGACACCATCAATGGACGCTAAAATGAATGAGTTGCAGTTTGAAAACTAACAGGTATTTGCATAGTCTCAAAGTCGCTCCACATATTTATTATAAAGAGAAAAATAGTATTTTTACAGAGGAGAAACTTGGCAGGCACCATCTAAACATTTTTTTAAAATAAAATCTATTCCAATTCCAGGGTCTATTTTATACGTAGAGCACAGCTCAACCTGCACTAGCGACATTTCAGTGCTGAGCTCCATGTGGCCTGTGGAGCAGGTTCAATAATGTAGCTCTAAATGGACCCTGCTGTCTACACTTCTCATCACATGCAATGATAAGTGTTGTTATAAGGCACTTTTATTTCATGTGATTTACATATAACAGAAGGCATCTAAGTGATCCACTCACATACCCACAAAGAAACCACACACGCACACAATCACTCACGTTCTGTGGTGGGAGAATAGTGGCCCCAACGCCCAGCCCAAACCCTGGAACCGTGAATCTCTTATGTGACCTGGCAAAAGGACCTCGCAGAGGTAACTGAGCTTTATAGATGTGAAAAGAGAGAGGTTGTCCTGGATTATCCCCAAGAGCCGTGTCTAAACACCGAGTCCTTAAAAGCAGAGAACTTGCTCCAGCTGAAGGCAGAACAGAAATGTGGCGGAAGGAGCAGTCAGAGGGATTCCAGGCGCGAGAAGGATGTGACCCGTGGCTGCAGGCTCTGAGATGTAGGCCCATGTGCGAGGACCAGTGAGAGGCTGGCAGGAGCTGGGGATGGACTGACACTTTCTGCCAGCGGGAACGGGAACCTCAGTGTTACCACAGCAGGGAAGAGAATTCTGCCAACAGCTTGACTGAGTTTGGAGGAGGACCCTTTCTCCCAAGGCCTCCCTAGCAGAATCCCAGGAGCCACACTTGGACTTCAGCCCTGTGAGACCCCTGGCAGAGAAATAGGCTGGCCACCCAGAGCTCTCATCTAGGAGCTGTGAGATACTAAACTTGTGTGGTCTGAAGATGCTAATTTTGGGAAACCTTGTAATGGCGGCGGGAGAAAACTAATCCGCACAATCATACCCACAGCCCCACAGCACAGGAAACATCGTTTTCTTATCATTTATTTGAACAATTCTTACAAAAAGTAGAAAAATAAATATTTTATCGGGTCTGAGTTTGACAATTCACACACATAAATACATAAATAGTGGTTGGGTGGCAATAAATTAAGAAACGTGAGGGATGCATAAATAAAACCCAAGATGCTGGGACAGGAGGCAGGTGGGCCTGAGGGTCACACACACAGGTCTCCATCAGCGACACATCTCAGGTCACCGACGAGGAGGTGGAAGAGGTTGGATACGACAGAAGCTTCAAGGCAGCCACGGGATTCCTGTGGAGAGGAAAGGACAGGTCAGTGGCCGTTCATCATCTGGGCCCCAACTTGTCCCCAGAAACTGGTCCTGCCCCAGTCACTCACCTTCTTCTCAGCCTCCTGGAGGCGGCGCAGCCATTGGCGGAGGCGGCCCCGGGGCCTGGGGCCTGCTGTGGACTGAGCTGGGACCTGTGGGCAAAGGAGGGTGGTGAGTGAACAGGGTCTCAGACACACGGGGACATACGGGTGGTCAGAGCCCACAGACGTGGTCTGGGAGCCCAGAGCACTCACACAGGCCTGAAGCTTGGAGTGGATGTGGCGCAGCATGTGAAGGGGCTGATCCAGGAGGTCCCCCAGGGTCGAGTTAGCCACGGTCTCCAGGACCTTCAGTGTCAGGGCCAGCTCAGCCTCCAAGGCCACAGGGCGCTCCCACACCTGAGCAGGGAGACAGACAGGTGAGAGTGAACAGGTGAGGAGGGTGGAGGGAGGAACAGGTGAGGGCAGGAGACAGGAGAGAGGGAAGGTCAATGTGAGCAGGTGAGGAGAAGAGGTCAGGTGGATTGCTGGGGAGGGCAAAGACACAGAGAACAGTGAGAAGGAGAAGGTGAAGGGGCCACCTAAGAAGCCAGAGGAGCGGGGCCGGGTGAGGGCAGGGCTGGGCCTGAGTCTCCCAACTCACCTGCAGCTGCCTCAGGTCCCAGGTCCTGGGGAATGGGCGGGAGCTGCAGCTCTGGATCCTCAGCAGGAGGGACTCTTCCTGGAGAGCAAGGGCAGAGGTCAGCCACAGCTGGGGGGCTGGAGGTTGACCCCGCAGTGGGCTTGGAGGATGGCTAGCAACAGGAGCAGGGGGCTAATGTCCTAAAGCAGCGGTTCTCAACCTGTGGTCCCAGCCCCTTTGGTGGTCAAACGATCCTTTCACAGGGGTCGTCTAAGACCATCGGAAAACACCTATATAATTACATATTGTTTTTGTGATTTATCACTATGCTTTAATTATGTTCATTTTATAACAATGAAATTGGGAGTCACCACAGCATGAGGAACTGTATTAAAGGGTCACGACATTAGGAAGGTTTAGAACCACTGTCCTAAAGGATGGTAGAGGCATCTCCAGTGCAGAAGAGCAAGAGTCAGCCCCCAAAGCAAGAGCAGGAGGTAGACCATGTGCGAAGGGTGGAGGTTAGCCCAGGGAAGGAAGGGTACAGGCCCACCTTTAGCCAAATGGGGCTGTGGCCCACAGAGGGAAGGGTGGAGGGTAGCCCACAGCATGGGGGTGGGGAGAGGAAGGAAGACTCACCAAGGCGTCCTTGGCCCTCCTGAAGGCTTTCATCTCTTGTGGGGGCAGAGACTTGAACTGGGCCATGTTGCAGCCCCTTGCACCCAGGAGGGTCGGGAGGGGCGTGGTGACGGGAACTGCTCCTGTGCTGGTCAGCACCGTGGTCATCAGCATCAGCACCAGCGCACAACACACAGCCAAGTCTGTGTTAGGGAAGGATGGGCAGATGAGGGGACAGAGTGTCAGGGGCTGTCGGTGGGGGCTGTGGCAAGTGAGGGTCATGGACAATGATGTGGAGGCTCACCCAGCTTCATCCTGGTCTCTGGTCTGGTCTCTATTCCAAGTGGGGACCCAAGTGTCCTCTCAGAGGCTGTCTCCTGGGTCTCACTCAGCCTTGTGTGGTGCCTCTGGCCTCAGTCTCCTTTTCTGGGTCTCAGCCCGCTGCTCGGTCTGTGTGCCCGAACTTCCAGTTAGGCAGCGATGCAATACCTCACTGAGCTCCAAGGTGCAGCTTTTAGCCTGCACAGGCGGGCAATCCCAGCTGATGTAGGAAAATGGAAACACACCTGCCACTAGGGGAGGCCCCAGGCTGGGAAAGCCCATGCAGGGCGGGGCCGTGAGCCAAGTGAAACAGAAAGTGACACACACTCAGGCTCACCTACAGAAGGTGAGGTCCCAAGAGGAATCTCAGGATAAGGGCAGCCTCAGCCCCACAAAGAGGGGTTGCCTTTCTGCAGGACACCCCCGGGCAGGGAGAGGAGGAGGAAAGCACCTTCAGGGGTGTTGCAACTTCTGAGAGGAGGAAGGAGGCTCTCAAGGGAGGAGAGAAGACAAAGGGAGAAGGCTATGGGAGGATGGGGGGCAGGGGGACTGGGACGGGGGAGTGTGTATGGGAGAATGGGCAACACAAAGCAGCCCAGAGTTAAGAGATCAGCTCTTCCCTCCCTTCCCCCACCAGGGGGTGTGAAAGAAGGGGAGGAGAGGAGCTTGACAAACAAACATCTTTAATTGTCCAGACACTGAGGGACCCAGGGATAGGAGTCTCTGCTAGGGAATCCGGGTGTAGCCAAGGACTTCAAGGGATCCTGTCAGTGTGACAAATGCCTTCATTCATTCATCAAGTATTACCCAGCCCCTACTTTGTTTCAGGCACTGCTCAACCTGCCAGGATCAGAGCATTGAAAAGATATCCCATAAAACAACACTTGTCGGAGCTTTTTAAAAAACAACAACTTTACTGTATTGATCTTTACAGAGGGAGAGGGAGAGGGAGAGGGAGATGGAGAGGGAGAGGGAGAGGGAGAGGGAGAGGGAGATGGAGACGGAGAGGGAGAGAGAGAGATCAATGTGAAAGTGAAACATTGATCGGTGGCTTCCTGCACGTGTCCTGACTGGGAAGAGAACCCAAAACCTGGGCATGTCCTCTAACCAGGAATTGAACCAGTGACCTTTCACAGGGGAGGACGATCCAACCCCTGAGTCACACCAGCCAGGGCTCCTGAGTCTTTTTACTAGAGGAGAGTAGGGGAGGGGTAAGCATTCACTGTATATTACATCAGGTAACAGAAAATGAAAGCACAAAAGTGAGGTGACAGCAGAATGTAGGAGGGGGCTGCACTGAATGAGGCCAGAAAAGTCACATTTGAGCAAAAACATAAAGTGAGAAGTGAGGGAGTGAACGATGTGAAGATCTTAAAGGAAAAAAAGACATCCCCACCCATGATCTGGGAGTACTTTATGCCTCACTCTATCACGGAGGCTTTGCCACAATGTAGTATTGAACCCATGATAACATCAGGGGCACAATATAGTTTGCCTACATCTATATATACTTGAGGCCCAGTGCACAAATTTGTGCATGAGTGGGGTCCAGCCAGCCTTCCCTGATTGGGGTGGTGGGGGCCAAATGAGGTCAAGGCTGGCCAGGGGGAGGAGCCGTGGGCAGTTGGCCAGCCCTGCCCCTGGTCGAACTCCTTGTGGAACTCTAGGTGGAGAGGAGGATTTGCATATTAAGCTTTTATTATCTATATATATAAAGAGCCAGAGGCCGTCACATCCGAAAAAACCAAATGGATAATGGAACAGGCTGAGTGGGGCAACAGGCTGGCAGGGGTGATAGTGAGGGATGACCAAACGACTGAGCAGCAGGCTACGTTGGGTGATCAGGCAGGCAGAGGGATGGTGAGGGATGACCAAATGACTGAACAAGCAAGCTGCGTGGGGCAACCATGCCAACAGAGGGGACAATGAGGGGTGACCAGGCTGGCAGAGGGGGGCAGTGAGGGGCGTTCAGGCTGGCAGGCAGGTGAGCAGTTAGGAGCCAGTGGTCCGGATTGTGAGAGGGATGTCCGACTGCTGGTTTAGACCTGATCCATCATCAGACCTAAACCGGCAGTTGTACATCCCTCGAGGGGTCCCAGTTTAGAGAGGGTGCAGGCTGAGCTGATGGGACCCCACCTTACATGAATTTCTTGCACCAGGCCTCTAGTATAGGATAAAAGCCTAAGCAGCCCTTACAACCGAATGACCAGAATGATCGGAATGACCAGTCAACCAGTCACTATGACAAGCACTAACCACCAGGGGGCAGCTCCTGTGTTGACTGTCTGCCCACAGGTGGTTAGTACACTCCCACAGTCACTCTCCCACAGCTGACCAACCTTCCCTGTTCCCTCCCCCTGTTCCTACCTCTGGCCGGCAGGCCCCTATTGGGACTGGGTGAGATGGCCCTATTCAGCCCTGATCAATGGCCAGGCCTAGGAATCTCACCATGCACAAATTCATGCACCAGGCCTCTATTTTTAAATATAAATAACATTGATAGAGTGAGTGAGAAGCTTAGTGTTGTGATGTATTTTAAAAATAGTCTCTGGCCCAGCCTGTGTAGCTCAGTGGTTGATGTCCACCTATTAACCAAGAGGTCAGGGTTGGATCCCTACTCAGGGCACATACCCCGATTGTGTGCTCAGTCCCCAGTAGGGGGTGTGCAGGAGGCAGCTGGTCAATGATTCTCTCTCACCACTGACTCTTCTATCTCTCTCCCTCTCCCTTCCACTCTCTCAAATCAATTAAAAATATTTTATTTTTGTTTTTTATACTAGTATATTTGTATTGATTTCAGAGAGGGAGATAGAGCTAGAAACATCAATGAGAGAGAAACACTGATTGGCTGCCTCCTGCACTCCCCCAACTGGTATTCCAGCCCCCAATCTGGACATGTGCCCATTACCAGAATTGAACCCAGGACCCCCCAGTCTGCAGGCCAATGCTCAATCCAGAGCATGGACCATGGAACTAAATGGTCTGGGATTCAAACCTGGCTCTATCCTCACCTGCTGTGTGACCTTGACAAGGAGCCCTGCAGTTGGCAGCAAAGCTCTCCAGCCCACAGGCTTGGACAAATAAAGAAGTGCAATCACTTGTGTATTGAGGTGTGTGTGGTTATTTAATAGAGACCATCCTATGGCCTCCACTGGAAGCTGAATAAATGCTACTTCAATGAACACAACTCGTCCGCAAAGGAAGGATGATAATGCCATGATATAGATGAGGAAACTGAGGCCACAGAAGTAATTTGCGCAGTCACACCATGATTAAGAGGCAGGGTCAGAGTTGCACTCAAGTCACTTGATTGCCCTGGCTAAGCATTTTTAACTGAAAGTGCCGCTCAGAGTGATCACAGGGGAACAACAAGTGTAAATGCAAGAATCCTATCTAATAATAGACAAACATGGTAATTAACCGTACCTCCAACACGCTTCCCATAGGCTAATCAGGGTGATATGCAAATTAACTGCCAACCAAGATGGCGGCCGACAGCCAGGCAGCTGAAGCAAACAGGAGGCTTGCTTGCTCCAGTGACGGAGGAAGCCAAGGTTCCTTGCCTGCCGCTGCCGGCCTCTGAGCTTGCACTCTAAGAAACAATGTTGCAAGTATAGAAGCTAAACAATCCCCAGAAACCTGCTTTGAGCCAGCCGGGCTTCAGCCAGCAGGACCGCAACATTGTTTCAATTATAGAACAAACCCAGATACCTGCTTTCAGCAGCTGAGGTCTCAGAGCTGCAGCAGAGCCTCAGAGCTAAAGCCGGCTCTCAGCTCCAGTGACAGCCACAGAAGGTAAATAAATCCAAGAATAAAAAAAGAAAAAGAAAAAAAGGAGAGGTTGGGAGCTTCAGTCGCCCACCAGCCTGAAAACAGCCCTCAGCCCCTCACCCAGACTGGCCAGGAACCCCAGTGGGTATTCCCCACCCTGAAGGGGGTGTGACCAGCTGCAAACAGCCATCATGCCCTCCTCCAGGCTGGCCAGGCACCCAAGCGGGACCCCCACCCTGAAGCAACAAGATGGCAGCTAATTTGCATACTGAAGGCGGGCAGCAGCGGGCAAGGCTGTCCGCTGTCCTGGGACCCTGATCTGTGACCCTGCCGGGAGGGGGCAGTGCTTGAGGCTGTCCACAGTCCGGGACCCGGATCTATGACCTGCTGGGCGGGGGGCAGAGCTTGAGGCTGTCCACTGGATCAAGACACGGATCTGTGACCCTGCCAGGCTGGGGGGAGTGCTTGAGGCTGTCCATGGTCCCGGGACCCGGATCCGTGACCCTTCCCGGTGGGGCGGCAGCTCGCACAGCGGCGGATTGGCCAGGATTGGGCAGGGCAAGACGTCTGGCTTCCGCCCAGCCCCAGTCACTCTGGGCAGGTGAACAGTGCAGAGAGCCTCTGGACAGGGGAGAAGGGCCGGCGGAGGGCGGCCTGTACTCCCCACATGGCGGTGGTGACAGCTGTGAGCACGCCAAGCGGAGCCTGCAGGCTGAGCTGAAGTAGCGCCTGCAGGCCATCAGTGCCCAGGAGTGGCTGCGCAAGATCTGTCTCCTGGCCCAGAAGGTGCAGGATCGCAGGGACAGCCACCATGGCGGGCCAGACTGACCTCCTCCTGGCCGCACCACGGGGGTTTGCGAATCTGCAAAGCCAGAGGTCTCTGGTATGCACATCCCCGCCTGGCGTGTGAACATCCCCCAGCACACTGTCACCCTCCCGCACCTGCAACAGTTGCAAACCAAGGCATGCACAAGTTCCCCCCGCCTCTCCACCGCACTTCCATCAACCCAGCATGCCTAACACCCCCACAGGATGTGCACACATCCCCTCTGATGTGCTCACGTCCTTTGGAGAGTGTCTGGGTGTTCTGGGTGTTGAGGGTGGGCGCCTGTGAGATGACAGCGAGAGGGTGGAGTGGTGATGCTCTCTTCCCACGGAGGCCAGTGCAGCTACGAGATCACCTCTAGGGGGTTAATACAGGTGCTGAGGCGGGAGCAGATGCAGACAGACACACCTGGTGGGCGCGGGCGGCCCTCGCTGAGATGCCTTCCGTCAGCATTCAAGATCAAGAACCCAGAGGCAGAGAGGAATTCCGTCCTCTCAGTGAGACAGTGGTATAGTCGGGGCGACTGTAGAGGAGGAATGTGCACT